CCCATGGTCCCCGCCCCCTTCCTCCAGCGCCCCCGACCCCTTAACTCTCTGGCACCGGAGCCCCGGTGCTGAAATATTTGGCCTGGCCAGCCGCGTGTTTCAGCATCAGGGTGAGGGCCAACCATAGAGATGCTCTGGCAGCCAGAACATCTCCATGGAGGACCCAGCCTCCATTTGCCTCGGGGCATGGACCGTGCCCTGCCCCGCCCTGCTTTTTTAAACGTCGGGTTTTTGGTTTTGTTTTTTTAGACCCCTGGAAATCCAGAGGCTTAACTTTCTCCCTGTGCTGTAAATTTGCAGCGCGGGGAACATTTTTTTTGTTCCTGCACTTGCCTGTTGCGCTGCCTCCAAGGGGTTTGAGGTGGGGCAAGAGGCATGTGCGCGCTCATGTGGATACGCCCTCAGAGTGCAAGGCTGCTGTATAAGCACTGTGTGCATTAGGAGGAATGGTGCAGATTTACCGCTTGTCTTTTGTTTGGCCTTTATAATGCCTTGGGAGCCATTGGCTGGTCTGAAATACCATGTGATCTGTTCCTATTGTAGCTCTCATTTCCAGGGTGGTCAAAATACCATTAGGAGACCTGATCTCATGTTAATTTGGAGACGCAAATTAACTCTAAATGTAGGTGTGCCTTTTTTTCCCCCTTTTAAATGAAATATCTAAACACACATGCAGAAAAGTTTGCAGTGTGGTATAGATGTACCTGAGCTAGCTTCAAACTAGCTATCTTGTATGTTAATAGCAGTCTAGCTATGAGAAATATGAAGCTTGGAGTGGCTAATTTACCCATCTTCTATGACAAGTGTTGATGTACCCACATAAAGGTGAATTTGCACTGAGTTTCTCTGTGCCTCGATCTCTGCATCTTCCCCGTATGGTAAGATCATGGCTGTAGTGCAGATGTATTCATTGGAGTTTGCAACGCCACAAAAAAGCCAATACACACAGACAGCTGAAAAGCCCCCTTCTTCATCCCTTGAATACCATTTGCAGAGTTCTCTGTTCTTTTTTCTAGGTTTGCTGTCTAGCATGAGTCATATGTCCTCTTTATGCCTCACTTTTACCATGTATAAAATAGGAATAATATTCTCCTTACAAGGCTGTTGCACTTCAAAAAATTCAAGGTTTCTCAAGTGTGCAAATAGTCTCAGATTCTAGAAGATTACAGAATATATTTAACTTCCAAGATGGCTCAGTTCATTCATGATTTTGTAGATTCCACATAAAGAATCCTGCAGCCCTTTGTAGACCTGTAGCAGTGTTCTGCCCCGGGGTGACCATGACAACCCTGGAGCTCTTTCAGCCTTTGTCAAGCTTTGCTTCTTCGGGCAATTTTCCCTTCTACTCGCCTGCCACGACTTGTTGTAAGTATGTCTTTATAAGACTGGAGTGTGCCTCGGGGCTCCTCAAGCAAGATCTCCCACTTATGAACTCAGCCATTGCTGCTCCCTGCCTCAAGGGCTAATTAGACAGGCTCAGTTTTCCCTAGTACCCACACCTATGCCTCACAGATGTCACACATACTAATCAAATCATAACCTCCCCTATGAGCTCCCAGCTGTGGTCCTTAAACCAGCCCCTCACTGAGCTATGGGCACTCTGGCGCCCTCAGTCTCTGACTGTGGCCCTCCTGACCCTTGGTCCTTCTCCTTAGACTCTGCCCACTTGCCTGAAGGCTGCCTACCTACAGACATACTTGGTGTGAGCCAGAGTCACTCATTGGCCTGCTCAGGAGCTGCTGCCCTGTCAGCTACCTGGATGAGACCTGCCTACCTACTTTAGCCCTGGGCTTGTACATGCCTCAAGCCCAGCCCCCTTCACTCAGGGGTCTTCCCTGATTGCTGCTTTAGCTGTTTCTAGAGCAGGGGTGGGCAAAGTCCAGCCCACAGCCAGGATCAGACCCACAGCAGACTTAATTTCCAGCAGCTCCTTCTGGCTGTCACTGCCAGACCCAGACCCTCTGTGCCACACCCACCACTGGGATGGGACCCACAGGCAGGATGGGCAGCCAGGTGGCTGGGAAGGGGCTGTGACCAGGAGAGAGATTGGGTGGGGGGGGACCAGGCCAGGGCCGGGGCAGTGCCATGATCTGTCTGCATGCTCCTGCGATAAGTGCGGGTTCTGCAGGCAGGGGCATGCAGGGAGCAGGCCATGACTCTGCTGCGGCCCTGCGCTGTCACCACCCCGAGGTCCTGGCCCTGGAGCAGCTCCCCGCACAGCTCCTGCTTGGCCAGTCTTCATGGAGACTGGCCAGGAGCCACATAGACAGGGGCTGCCAGCAAATGGAGTCCACTCACTGGCCAGATGTGCCATTTTGCCCATCCCTATTTTAGAACCGTCCCCTCGTAGAGTGACAGGTGCGCTAAGCGCTCTGTCACAAGACCATAAATAATAAGTGAAATATTTGACAGGAATTAAATGACCCGGATTGGAACGGAATGCTCTGCAAAGGGAATCGGAAGGGGGGGAGGCTTTACGGGGCTCTGTATGCAAGAGCTTTTTCTGTGGCGTTCTGTATCCAGTTTCTGCATCTGCATAATAAATTTGTGAAAGTTTCTCAATAGTCATGGAGCAAGTATGTGACAGACCGGGATAGAACCTGGGCTTCCTGTAGCCAATTCCAGTGCCTTAACTGCATGGCCATCCTTCCTGCCCCTGCACCTTTGAGCATCAGTGTGGAGCCAGCCAGTATTTAGCTCTGTGTCTTGGGACGGGCCACACAATTCAGTTCCCTGGCTCTGTCTTGGTACTTTGTTGTTAAGAGCTTTCTTGAAAGGTTAAACAAGTGGCATTTGTTTTCCTGCTTGGATATTCGTGTTGATTACATTTCAGTGTTTCCCACCTGTGCCTCCAAACTTATGGAAATGGCACATTTCAGTTAGCCAGCAATTTTAAAAAAATGCTTTCAGCCTACAGCCATCTCATGCTCATCTGTTCTTGTCCTCTTTGTGGACTTGCTGGTGGAAATATGATGCAATTCTTTGCATGCTCATCCAGTTTTGCGTTATTTATCTTCCAGTTGCACTTCATCTGGGAAAATATATATCAAAATAATGCGCAGAGGATAAAGGAGATAATCACAGGACAGCGCCTTAGCTGGTGCAAGTTGGGGCAACTCCACAGAGCAGTTACACCAACAAATGTCAGCCGGTGATCTGGCCTGATGTTCATATAAATTGTTAATGAGCAGGTCTGTGATATCAGTGGATCGGTTGTATCCAATTTTAATGGGTCAATATATTATTGATCATAAGAGTGTGGCTACATGAACAAGTTAGGTAGGGTGTGAACTTACAGCACATTGGATACCCTCTGGTAATGCCTGTGCTTTCACCTGAGAGGCATGCTCACTGTGAGATAAGAGCATGCATGCAGGCGCTTGCTACAGAATAGCCAGCACGTGCTAAATTCACACTCTTGTGATAATTAGTGCAGGTAGCTGGACCCTAGGCAGAATTGGGGGTTGCTTCTACCTTCTCTGGGTAGGCAGGCTGAAGGGAAGAGGACACTGGGACATGTGCTGTGAATGAGGTTTCCTCTTTCAAGGCCCCGTTCACTGAAGCTGGTTTTCTGTGGATGTTCCTTTTGGAAAAACAAGTTCATGCAGTTTTTTCAGCTCCACAAAGCTCCCTTTCTGTGTTGGCAAAGTGACCCTAAGGGGATGGGCTAGCCAAGAAGCAATCTGGAAAAGGGAGACTTATGCCTAGCTTGAAAAGAGTAAAGTGCAGCTGCTGTAGGCCAAGCAGCCCAAACAGTTTTCCATAAAGGGAAAATGTCTTGGCCAGTGCTGCCCAGTTAGACTCTTGGCCTATGCGGTCTGGCTGACTCTGTGGGGTTTTAGGAGACTGCTGACTCGAGCAATCAGAAGTTGTTAAACTACTCGGTGCTGAAAGTGAGCAACAGCTCCATTCAAATCATCTGTTATTACCTATTCTCCATCAGCTTATGACCATTGTTCCTCGTCACCCCAGGTGGTGCTGGGGAGAAAAGGCTCTGCCTATTTGCTGTTGATCCCCCCTGATGAGCTTGTATCCAGCCACCAGGTCCCCCCTCAGCCTCCTCTTGCTGAGGCTGAACAGGTTCAGGTCCCTCAGTCTCTCCTCATAGGGCCTGTCCTGCTGCCTCTCACCAACCGGGTGGCCCTCCTCTGAACCCTCTCCAGGCTGGCCACATCCCTTTTGAAGTGCGGCACCCAGTACTGGATGCAGTACTCCAACTGCAGCCTGACCAATGTCGCATAGAGGGGGAGTATCGTCTCTCTGGACCAGCTTGAAATGCACCTTTGGATGCATGACAAGGTCTGGCTGGCCTTGCTGGCTGCGGTCTGGCATTGGCGGCTCATGTTCATCTTGGAGTCAATAATGACTCCAAGATCCCTTTCCGCCTCTGTGCTTTCCAGAAAGGAACTCCCCAGCCTGTGTGTGTGCTGTGGATTCCTTCTCCCAAGGTGCAGCACCCTGCATTTGTCTACGTTGAACCCCATCCTATTCTCGTCTGCCCACTTTTGTAGTCTGTCTAAATCTAGTTGCAGCCTCTCTCTCCCTTCAAGTGTGCCCACCTCGCCCCACATCTTGGTGTCATCAGCAAATGTGGACAGTGTGCTTTCTACCCCCTCGTCCAAGTCGCTGATGAAGATGTTAAACAGTGCGGGCCCAAGGACCGAGCCCTGGGGGAACCCCACTGCTCACATCTCGCCAGGTTGAGTACGACCCATCCACCACTACTCTCTGGGTGCGCCCCATCAGCCAATTTTTTACCCATCCAACTGTGCAGGCATCAGTGCCACAGTCGCTTAATTTATTGATGAGGATGGGGTGGGAGACAGTGTCAAAGGCCTTCTTGAAGTCCAGAAAGACTATGTCCACGGTGACACCATCATCCAAGGATTTAGTTACTTGGTCATAAAAGTATGGGCAGATTCAGTCTATGGCTGAATCTCCGAATCTCTCTGAATTGATTCAGAGGCTTTCAATTTTGATTTGGAGAGAGAAATGGGTCTCCCGATTCTGTTTGGATTTGGAGATTCGGCCGCCGAATCAGGCCAAGTCTCCTCTGAATTGAATCGGCTACCAAAGCTTTGCACAGCTGTAGTGTGCAGTGATTTGTGGGGGGGAGGAGGAGAATGCATGGGAGAGTACAGCTCTTATCCCTCCCCCTGCAATCGGTTGACGCTCTGAAATGTGAACCCAGATTACCTCAATGAAATTGTGCTATCTGCAGTTGATCATAATCTATAATATTTGTTGATGCCATGGTTTTTATTGCTCTTACCTCCTTGCAATAGTGAATTCTATTGGCTTGGGCTAAGTTTGTTGGTATCTTCACACTCTTTGAGCTGAGGAGGTGATGTCATCCCTGAGGTGGGGAGGAAGGTGGTGCATGTGAGCAACTGGGTGCTTTTCTGGTATAATACATGGAGGATGGATGGGTGGGAGATTAGAAGACAAAGACAATCATAGAATCGTAGAAAATTAGGGTTGAAAGGGATCTCGGGAGAGTACTTAGTGCAGGGGCGGGCAGAGTCCAGGCCAGATTCTTGTTAGATCTTAATAGATTTTATTCTTGTCACTTAGAAAATTTATATTGTTTCACAGATCCCTCATCCTTTTTATGTAAGAGTATCAGAGCACTTTGTATTATAAAGATGCACCTGCACAGATGCTCTTAAGTACATGTATCGGTAGGAGTCGGAGCCAGAGCCACAGCAGCCTCCTGCCCTAGGCCAGTACTCAAATCCAAGATGAATTCTTTGTTTTCCCCCTCTGCATGTTGCATTGGGGGTAGGAAAACTCTTGCTGGATTTGTAGCCTCTCCCTTGCTGTTGGCCTGATCAGTCACAGACCACCTGTATTTAACCTTTTGTTCTTTTCTTCTTGTAGTTGGTGACAAGGTGCCAGCCGACATCCGGATCATTGAGATCAGATCCACAACGTTACGGGTCGATCAGTCCATTCTCACAGGTACAGACCATGATTTGGGGGGGCGGGGAGGACATGCAGGTGTTGTGAGTGTGGTAGTCTCTTGGGACTGCTGTTATTGGAATTAGTTCTGCCTCTGGAATAGCACAGGGAGGGGTGACTGGCATATGCTTGGGGCAATAAGAATATTTGTGCTCATAAACCTGAATAATAATTTCTAAGTAACGCTACCAGCTTGGCAAAAGTTGGATTTTGATTGTTACCCCACCTTATGCCATTTCCATAACTGTTGTGAGGTGGTTGGTGCCAAACTTCTTCTATCACTTCCCAAGCATTTACCTTGCTAGACCTGAAACTGGTTGGTTGGTATTACTGTCCCCATTTTACAGGTGAAGTTTAAACAGAGGGATGAAGGATAGGATATTCAAATGTGTTCACCATTGGTCTAACTCTGCTTCCATTGAATACTGAGTTTTTTCACTGACTTCAGTGCACGCAGTTAGCAAAAAAAACTTCAAAATCGCTTTGCATTTCATTTACTGTATTTACCTGAATCCAAGACAACGTCCCAGTGATTAGATTCTTGACTTCCCAAGCATTTACCTTGAGTTCCCTATCAGTGCTTCCCAAGCATTTCTTCAGTTTTATCATGATAGATTTGTCACCTCCTTGAAGAGTGCTGCATCCACCTCCTCTGCCTGATTTGGTGACCTATGATAAGTCCTCACCATTATATCAGTGCTGCATCTTTCACTTTTCATCTTCATCCAAATGCATTCTGCTCTGCTAACTCCTCCTGAACCAGGGAACAAGTGTGTGCATTTTTGACATGCAGAGCATTACTACCACTTCTCTCAAATGATCTATCCCCTATTCCAGGGGTTCTCAAACTGTGAGTTGTGACCCCGCCGGGGGATCGTGAGCAACTTAAAAGGGGGCCGCAAACTTCCCAGGGGGTACGTGTAGTGGCTGCGCTGAGTGGTGGATGGTGGCAGCAGCTGCTGCATGAGAGTTCCCTGTGCCCTGCCGCCGCCATCCAGCACTTGAGTTGCGGTATCACAAAGTTTGAGGACCCCTGCCCTATTCAATACTCTCCCTAGCATCCAACATTTAGAGATGCCAAAGAAGGCATCTCCAACTGTTCTGTTCAATAGTCATTAAAAGATTTATCATCTGGCTATGCTAACTTCCTCCAGCAATTCCTGTGGCAATGATTTCCGCGAGTTAACTACCCACTGCATAAAAAAGTACTTTCTTTTGTTAGTTTTAAACCTGTGACCTACTAATTTCAGCAGGTATCCCCTTTTTCTAGTATTCTGCGACTTGGCGAACACCTGTTCACTTGATCCACACCCTTCATGATTTTATACACCTCTGTCATATACCCCCTCAGCCGCCTTCTTTCCAAACTGAAGGGTTATTAGCCTTTTCAGTCTCTTCTGATATGGCAGCTCCTCCAGGCCCTTGATCATTTTGGTTGGCCTTCTCTGTACTTTTCTAATTCTACTACATCCTTTGAGAGGTGTGGACCAGAACTGTGCACAGTGTTCAAGATGTGGGTGCACCATAGATTTGTGTAAAATCACATTGTTCTCAGTGTTGTTTTCAATTCCCTTCTTAAGGATGCCTGAGATGATGTTGGCATTTTGTTTGCTGCTGCTCACTGAGCTGACATTTTTAGAGAACTATCTACAACAGCTTCAAGATCTTTCCCGAGTTGTAACTGCCAGCTTTGTACACACATACGAACTCAGCATTGTGTGCATTTTGCTTAAAAGGGAAATTAATGGCAGGACTGGGATTAAACTCAGCAAGTTCTGACTCCCCAGTCTTATGCTCGGACTCCCAAACCACTGTTGACTCTCAGTAGTAATTGCAAAGAATCGCAGGGAGAGATTTCTATAGCTCCAGCCCTAGATTTAGTGATGGTTTCCAATCAAACTAAAATACAGGCACATTGGCTGCCTTCTGAACCTTGCCTTGAAACTAAATGTTTCTTGATTTCAATCTGTATCTTTTTGTGTAGCTGCTAAAGAGTTAATCATTTCAGATGTGTGCTTTCACTGGAATCGGATATCATTGAGCGAGAGGAAAAAACTTTAATTTTTTAAAGTGGAGTAAAGAAGCATTTAAAATGTGCATATTAGCATTAAGCATCTTGTATCCCTGCTATCAGGGGAAATGGCAATTACCCTTGCTTTTCTGCTCAGAAGGTGGATCACTTTGGAAGGGAGGGGAGGGGCAGGGAGAGCTTCCAAATTTCAACTCCTTCATGTGGTTTTTAAAATTCATTAGCGGGGAGATGGCAAAAGAAGAGGGAAAAACAGTCAGAGGAATGTTGAATCCTATAGGGACATGAGCCCGGTCTCTTTTGAAACGTGACTTAATACTAATTGAGTTTTCTTCTCTGAGGGCAAGAGGAGATAAAGCAGGAGAACAAATGAGCAGAGTAAGAAATGAAGGACTCAGGAGAAAGGAGTCTTGCTTCCTTCTTTGCTATGTTCCACCAGGGATTCCTCCTCTTTTAGAAGCAGCAAATTGGTTTTGGGAGAGGGGGTGTGACTTTGACTCATTTTGTGACTTTGAGAAGTTGAAGTGCATCTTCAGATCTCAATGTTAATATCCTGATGAAAGAGGGGCTTTTCTTCAACTCATGGAAGCCAAAAAGCTTCTTGTGGGGCTGGCTTTTTATTCTTTGTGCAGTGTGTTGCATAATGGAGGCTTGACCCATGCTTGGAGGTCCTAGGTGTTGTTGTAATGTAGACAAGGAATAATTAAGTAGCCATTTTCTTTGACTGTGTAGGATAGTTCCCTATCAGATGCAAAAGAAGAGTTTAGGAATTAAGAACATTTTAATTTCAGAAGTCCATTTTTATTCTTCCACAATATCAAAATAGCAAGGCAGAGGGCATTTTCCTTGCACATCATAGCTATTAGAAATACTTCATTAGTGTTGCACAGCAAACCAGTACTGGTTTTTGAGGGAGCTTTGTACACTACAAAACAAGCCCGTACCATTAAATGCTAATCCTCTTCCTTCTCTCAATTAGAAATGCACTGGCTGAGTTTTACCTGAGCCCCTCTTCAACTTTTGGTACCAGCTCCTCTGTAGAAGGTTTCATTGGTAGTTTGACAGGGGTTAAAACTACCGGGATCTATTGAATCCCTCCTGCTGTGTCCTTCAGGATAAATTAAATTAAAAACTGTCAGGATATATTAAGGTTCCTCCTGCTTAAGGACTCAGCCCAGTGTGGTGGTAGTCTCTGAAACAAATAACGGGTCATTTAGAGGTGGCGTTGGCTTGCCATTGCTGCTTGTAGCGGGCAGCAACTAGGTGGAGAGTATCCAGACCTTGAATTTGCCTAACTTAACCTCCTGGCTTGGAATTGTGGCCAAACCTGAGCAGAACTAGATGTTAGCTTCAGTGATTTCCTAGCTCTGGTAATCTCCACGTATTTAAGATAGTCATTCTCCCATACCTATTACCTCCTAAATGAAACAGATGACTGCACCAGCTGCAACATTTCACTGATGAATATCAAAAGAAAAAGAACTCATGGTGAAAATCTATTTTCAGGGCTCTCTCTTGTCACCAACTGAAGCTTCAGATCCACTGTAATAAATACTATTGGAGAAACTCAGTCTCTATAGACAGCTCAATAAGAAACTGCAAATGGTTTTATCTCCTCCGTTTTGTCTCGGCAGGTGAATCTGTGTCTGTGATTAAGCACACGGACCCCATCCCTGACCCCAGGGCTGTCAATCAAGACAAGAAGAACATGCTTTTTTCTGTAAGTCTCGTCATATCTGTTACCACCTTTCATGCATCTTGTACCAAGAGCCCCATGTAAAATGGGCTTTTGGGCAGGATGGCAGTGTACGAGTTTGAACAGAAAATTGGAAAGGGTTCTTACTTTTCAGTGACAGATACAAGCAGTTTCAGGTGGGACTTTTTTTTTTCATTAGCAAGTCTTCAGTGCTGGCTTATCTCTGCTCAGACTTGTCTGGAAGGGTTTAGGGACAGCAAATCCTTCATCTCAATGTCCTTTCCAACTTCATGATTCTGCACTACCATTAAGGCCAATAGAAGTACGATGCCAGCGGGAACAGTTAGGCCAGCAATGAGCGCTTCTGAAAAATGCCACCCCTCCCATTTATGTATTATCAGAATCAGGCCGGTCACCTGCTTACATAGACCCAAACATTTCTGGCCAAGCGATCTGATATAGAGACCCTCTGAAGTCATAACTGCATAGCAGTTTTAAAATGGACCTCCTGGTCTTGTATCTTACTGAGCTCACCACATAGCAAAGTTGAAGGGCCCTCTGGCCTTTGAGAGAGATTTGTACCCCTGTGCTTCCCTTCATTTAAAAAAGCATTTCATTATGTTTGAGAAGAAAATAATACTGCCAGCCTGACCTTCATTTGCCTTCTGCTTTCATTTGCCATGGGCTATGGCAGGATCAGTGAATTCAGTGGATTGGAGGCATGGAACAGGTGAGACATTTCAACCCCACCCTTCCCAAACCATTGTAACCTGGTGAAAGGGTGTTCTGCTAAGGCTTAATCACTGGTGTGGTTGTCACTTTACCATGTGTGGCTAAAATTTTCAAATGAGCTGGTCTGAGGGAGTTAAAAATCCAGCTCCCATTGAATTTCAGAAGGATTTCAGTCCTTAAGTCTCTGAAGGTCCTTTGAAAATCCAGCTTGCACGTTTATGGCTCTTTCATTTCACATGGTATGAGAGACATTTGTAATTAAACATGCACATCTCACAGGTTCTGGTTCTCTTGCTCATACCACTCTCAGTAAGTAATTCTGTTGAAGTGAGTGCAGTTAGGATGGTGTGAAATGTTTTCTACCAAGACATGAGAGCCTCTCTTGCTCCTTTGAATAGCTTCAATGTCAAGTTCAGCAGAGCTCTGGTGACTGACTTGCATTGCTTTAGTGGGGGAGTTTTTAAGATCCAAGTGGAAACATGAAAATTGATCCAGCTCAAACCGCTTCCAAGAGGAAAAGTAGAGATGCAGTCAAGTTTGCAAGTTTAGCATTTGGATTTTAAGTGAGCCAGATTCAATGGTGTTGGGATTTTGTCTTCTTGCTGCATCTTAAAGATTAATGATGGTTTTAAAATCAGATTTATGCTTACATTTTGAACATTTGCCAAACTGGGAGGGGGTGGAATTTAGGCCCAAGTCCTTCTCTAATCAAAACTTAGTCAAAGCAATTTTTGAAGGAATACATATTGTAGACAACATATATAGACTGTCATTATAATTGTATCTATGTTGAAGGATACTAATATAAGATGTTACACTGCAACAGCCTCATAACTGAATGACTCTGCAGTGATGGAAGTGTAACAGAACTGCTGCTATTTTAACTCTTTTTCATTGAGGGGGCAAATTTAGAGTAATTTAGCAAACAAAAAGTCTTCTGAAGAGCAGTTTCCCCTCTTTCTATAGCATTAAAAACCGTACATCTATACTCTGAGCATTTGGGGAGACGTGAAGTCAGAGATCCTATATTGAGTGTTTTTCTTTTCGTTTGGAATTAACTTCAACTTTTCGATGCATTCAGTAGGGGTAAGGAGAGTATGCATTACATACTGAGATGCTTCTGACCCCGAAAAGCCCCAAGCCACATGTTTTGAGAACCACAAATTTCAATTTTTGGTGTCAAGCTTGGAAAGATTCTGGCAGGATAAGTAGGATATCGCCAAAGGCGGAGAGACCAGTTGGTAGAAACAAAAACAAAAAAGCCCCACCAAGGTGTTGTAGAAAATAGGAGTCATCAAGTCAAAGCTTGTGAAAGAAGTTAAACACTGAATCAGTGACAGGTACCAGGAAACAGTCCAGGAGACCCGATTCCTAATCTTGTACTCTAACACCAGGCCACACTGAGCTACCCATTTCCTGTTGGAGGCTAAGCGATTTGAATGTTTGTATATTCTGAGCATGAACATGAATCTCCCCCACCTCTTCCCCTTTTCCAGGGTACCAACATTGCAGCTGGCAAGGCTGTTGGGGTCGTCATTGCTACTGGGGTATACACAGAAATTGGCAAGATCAGGAATCAGATGGTTGCAACTGAGCCAGAGAAGACACCATTGCAACAAAAGCTGGATGAGTTCAGTCAGCAGCTCTCCAAGGTCATATCACTGGTCTGCATAGCCGTCTGGGTCATCAACATCAGCCATTTCAGCGACCCAGTCCATGGCGGTTCTTGGTTCCGGGGTGCTATCTACTATTTCAAGATTGCTGTTGCTTTGGCTGTGGCAGCCATTCCAGAGGGCCTTCCTGCTGTCATCACCACTTGTCTAGCCCTGGGCACACGCCGCATGGCCAAGAAGAACGCTATTGTGAGGAGCCTCCCGTCTGTGGAAACACTGGGCTGCACCTCGGTCATCTGCTCTGATAAGACCGGCACCCTCACCACTAACCAGATGTCCGTCTGCAGGGTGAGTGCTGAGGCCGGGGAGCAGATCAAATGCTCTTTTGTTCCACTGGCATGTGTGCGCGGTGGTTTTGAGGCTGATGCAGAAGGCTAAGAGTTTGGCCCCCAGCTCTGTCATTGGCTTGTTGCGTGACCTCAGGGAAGCCATGTCCCCTCTCTGTGCCTCAGTTTCCCCATCAGTGTAGAGGATGACAGTGTTTTCCTTCCTGCAGACCAAGGCTGAAACTTTGCTTTTCCCTGCCAAACTTTTGCTTTGCTTATTGAGAGCTTTGGGCTGAGCACAGGGAGGCTTTGCTTTATTACAGGTCTCAATCACAATCTGCCTTCTTTTCCACTGGGTGGTGAGAATGTGATGGTTTGGCTTTGGTTTTGGTGTTGTGCTAGGGCTATAATTGAGCAGCTGGCTGCTGCTTGCAGACAAATTTGATAACTGTTTAAACAAGTAGCTTTCAGAAGTTATTTTTAAGGACACTCTTGCTGGGAAGTTTTCCCCTTTGGTGGGAATCTACTTAAAGTTGGGGCTTCTACAAATGCACGTGTCTTGTTTGCAGCCTGTTCTCGCCCACGTGTGTTTACCAAGCTGGGAAAAGCTTATAAACCTAAAAGCTAGGCTTTCTTTCAGAAACCAGACACAAGGAAAAGGGGTTGTGAGTGCAACTCTGGTCCTAATGTATGAGAAGGACTTGCACTGAGAAACCTAGGGTCAAGATGAGATGAATGCAACCCGGCTGGTCAGTGTTTGTTTTGTTTTGTTTTTAAATCCGTGTTTGGTTTTCAGAAAGTTTGTGGTCAGCCGTTCCATGTCATTGTACGTACAGCTGAGTTTGGTATCTAAATATACCTACGTGGAAACTTCATAACATAAATATACCATAAGCACTTATTAGAGGGTAAGCACCATGGGCATCTGAGTGCCTTTGGTATGAAGAACTATTTTCTGGGGAGCATCTTCCATTCTCCTGTCCCATAAGGCTTGGGTATTTTTGGCTGGACAAGAATAAGCTTCTCTGAGAGAGAACAGGCAGTCTACTCTCTCTCTTTTTTTAGCTTCCCTATGATTCTTCATGTCTAAGGAAAGCTTTTGCTTTCTATAGGCATTTGGATTTTATAGGAAAACATTTCTGTGGAAGGAAAAGTAAACCTAGGGCACTTGTACACGTGACGGGGGTTGAGTCCTCAGGGTTTTTTATTGTATGTCCCCTAAATTGAAATGGTGGGTTTTTAATTGAAAACCATTTCAATTTTCTGTAGCATTACAGTGAGGGCCCCGATCCCCTTTTTCCCAGAGCCTGCCCCTAACTGGCGGGTGAGCTGCCAGTGGGCTGCCAGTGCCGTGACCTGTGGGGGGCCCCAGTCCTTTCCCCCACGGCGGCAGTGACCCCTGAGGCTGCCCAGGTGGGCTGCTAGTGGACTGAGTGCTGCCCCAGCCCGTAGGCAGCACCTGGCTCAATCCAACCGTTCCCTGACCCTGCGGGCTTCCAGTGGGCAGGCTTGGGAAACAGTTGGATTGGGCTGGGTGCTGCCTCCGAGCTGGGGCAGCACCTGGCCTGCTAGCAGCCTGCCTAAGCGGCCTCAGGGGGCACTGCCACTGTGGAGGAGAAGACCCTCACCCTCTGCAGCTTGCCCCCCAGATGAAGTTTAGTTTGCAATGATGCAACTCATCTAAATACCCCCCCAAACTGGCACATGTGTATGGTCTGATGCCATTAAGTCACACAAGTGACATTTTTATCTCTTGTACATTATGACAGCTATCACATGTACAAGTGCCTCTAGTTGGCATCCCCTGGCTTTAATATGTTGTTAGAATTGTCTGAAGTAGGAACCATATTATAGACTTTTCTGATGCTTTGAGTACTGTCTGGTTAATTAGAAACCGTAAGTAATGGAAAAGTCTGACAGTTCTGCTCCCCAAAGTGTTATAAATAAGACCCTGCTGGAACAAGACATTTTAAAATATATACCATTTTCACACCTTGCATAAAAAGGAGGTACAGCTTTTCAAAAAGCAGAAACATAGGGCAACCAAAAATTCTTCCCTTCCTCCTCTCCCCTCCCCTGGCCCTCACCTCCATATTTTTCCAAACGCGGCCAACTTAATATAACATTTGCATGACATTCTGCTTCAAGAGTACATCTGGCAGGTTGTTCCTGTTCTGTAGTGGTTCTTCTAGTTTCCTTAGTGATATGGCAGAGCAAGTGGCCCATGCTCAACTGCATAATGAATGCGTGGGAGTCTAAAGGCATTAAATGTGATGATGTTGGTTCTGTGGACAGAGAAGCAAGCAACTCATGCTAATCAGATCGCTAACATGATGTATGCACCTTTCCATGCACCAATATTCAGGTTGCTATCAGCTGATTTCTGTATCAGGCCACTGATACTTTTGGGGTTTGTTTTGGTTTTTTTTTTTAAGGAGTCTCTTGCTTAGGACTTTGGAAGATGGGCAGGGTAAACTTAAAGCTGCCCTCAGCCCTGCAGTCCTTATCTTCATTTGATCCGCATGGACCAAACTTCCTGCGTTTTCAACACCCCAGAGGTTCTGTGCCCTGCTTGTGTTAAGTCGTCACTTCTGGCTCTGGTTTAGGATGTGCCCGATTCACGTGTTTGGGTGTGTTCAGATTTGGGATGTTGGTTCAAGGCGATCTCTAGTTCTGCATCAAAACCATCCACTACCAGTTTCCATCTACAGTCATAACCTCTGGGCTGTCTCCATTGTGCTGGGCACGATACAAATGAATGTTGTAAAATAGAATTCCTGCCACAAGCAGCTTGCTGTCTAAGGATCTGCTCCTTCTGAAATAAATGCAAAAGTTGTACTAACTCTCACTGCATGGGCCCACCCTGCACACAGAAAGACATATGGAGGGGAAAAGGGCAGAGCAGTAGTAACAAAAGGTGTTTTGGCATCAGTAGTGATAACAGCAAGTCTTTCAGTATTCAGCCCGGGACTTCTAGCACACTTGGCTGGAGCTTAAAATTGGAAAGCAGGCTTCATACCAATCCATTCTGTTTTCATCATCCATTGTAATCGGTCAGCTGAATCGCGACTCTTGAACAGCATTATTCAAAGCCCGATCAGCTTCAGGAAACAGAAGCTTGTGTTAATGTTTAACCTTTGGGAGTTCCCTGCTTAAATACGGTGACTGCCTAATGGAAGGAATATGGATATTGTTCACAGATTTTTTCAGACATGCTAAATAGTTAAATATTTACGTTGGGTGGCCAGGGCTACTCTTGACCGCTTTGTTTATCCTGTTGGTGCTCGCTTCAGGCCAGCTTGATCTTGAGTGGAAACTGTATAAAGTGTGTCAATATCCTGTATAAATGTTAAGCATTTTTTCCATGTTACCTGGGCCATGCAGCCTTTTTTCAGCAAATCCAAGGACCACGAGTCCACAGAACTCATTTCTAATCTATTTTGAGCATGAATATGAGACGGGTCCTTTGCGACCACCATAATAAAAGGGTTCGGTTTCCTTCTTCATTTGTAAGTATTCCCAGTCCGAGGACCATGATTTTCCCCATCTCCATCTCTGTCTGGTTAAACAAGGGACATGCAGGGAAACAAAACCCAAATTAAAGTGGATTAGCTGAACATTTAAAAACCCCTGTGTGGGTATCCTCATTGAGAATGAGGTCTTAATTCATCTTGGCTTTATTAGCTTTGGAAGGGGGGTTAAGTTAAATCAGATGAAGGTCACTTTAATTTTGAAAACATGCCGCTGCACAAGGGCTACATCTTCATAATTGTCCAAAAATAATAATAATTTTAAGAAATGGCAATTTCCATCATGTGACTTTCTGGCTTTCCTTCTCCATCCCCAAATGATTTCTTTGTCTGTCTTACCAGGAATAATTTCCTGGTAAAAAAAAAAAAAAAAAAAAAATAAAAATAAATAAATAAATTAAAAAAAAACCTTGCATCTCCATTCAGGATCCTCTGTGTTCTTGCCTCTTAACTTGAAATTTTTATTCCTTTTTTATTTGGGCTTTTTTTACTCAGAAGAGGCAGGGAGGTGGACATTCAGGAATACCAAGATATGATAAGGACTTTGGTATTTTGCCCCAGATCAGTGAAAGTACTGTGCTTGTACATAATTACCGGTCTCATCATAGAGTTAAATTAGGCCCATAATGAAAAGCTAGATCTTCACTAGCGCTCCACATCCAACTCGACTCTTACTGCTTCATGATGAGAATTGGATCAAATCCTAGCAGCTAGCTGTTGATATCACTCTTGTTCCTTCATCACTTGCTTTTGCCCTTACTTGGTTTGGGGAATCCAGAGACCGGCAATCATGGCAACCTGTTTTTTTTCTGGTGAGATCGCAGAGAAAGTGCTTGTTTTCAGTATCATTCTTCAGAGTATGGGGACCAGGGCTTACCCTACTTACTTTTAAGTCCTGGTGCTGCACTCTAGTGCTAGATGAGATGCCTTCGTTTGCAGATTGTCTAGTGCTGCTGCAGTATTTACGTAATCTTATAGGTTATGGTCTGCATTGAATAACATATTAAATGTGACTCAGTTGCCTCACTGTCATGCTTTTATCTTCATAGCTGCTTTCACGTTAGAAAGAACAAGAACGTCACAGATTCAAGGACCTTACACCCTGAATGCTCTGATGTGATCATCCAAGCTGGCTCCCTGCATAATGTGCACTGTAAAATTGGAATAAGTCTTGCCAGGATTAAGCACCAACTTCTGTTGAAGGGGCTTGAATCTCCAAGTGGATCTATTCAGTCTGACTGTTTCCAATTATAATATTCTCTGAAGCAATTCAATTAAACCTAGACAATTCATATTAACCACTTGTCAGAACTCAAAGCTTTTTTGAGATCAGCAAAGCATAAAGAGTGTTTAATTAAATTCCTTCCACTTTTTTTCTGTCCAGGACCAATCTCTCCATCAGTGTCATCTAACTTGGTCTCGTATCTTTCTCTAGATAGTCTCTCTCTTTACTTAATGGCCTGGAATGCCATGCAGGAGCACTGACCATTGG